AATCTCCAGCACAAAACTTTGCAAACCACTTTTGACATGTTCAGTCAGTCACAGCACTTTCTCCATACACTGCATAAATCTTTTTTTTTTTGCTTGTCGGTTGCATTTTTACTTTTCCTGAAATAATAAAATATTATATGCCAAAATGTTGCTTATTTTCTTCCATCTTCAATATTAAAATGGCTGCATAAAAATTCACCAATTTTGATAGGTTTTTTTTAAAAAAATGCACGCTGAATATGACAGCTGTCACCATACAACCTAACAAAATTGTTTTGAATGAAGTTAAAGACAATTAAGCACTACTAGAACCATCTTATGGGGAAAAAATGAATTTTTTGGCCAACCCAATATTTTTGGGGTGTCTATCTCTAACACAAGACTGTCAGTTACCATAATAGAGAAGTACAGAGGATCTGTGGAAACACAGCTGAGAGAACAGCTTAGTTTTCTCAAAGAGTTCAAAAAGCTATATAAAAGAAGTGGAACCAGACATATGAGTAGTGGTTTGTTATGAGAAGGCAGGCGTGAAGACCATTCCAAGTAGATTAAAGGCATGGTGTGTTTGTCAGTCCATTAACTAATGTTTATGAGGTCTTACCATGTGCCAGGCACGTTGCCACATACTAAGAGTAGACAGTAGTTGATTTGGTTGGAATGTAAAACATGTTGGGCAGGAAGCAGTTGGGATGAGGATGGAGGAATGAGCTGTACCATACATAAGGAATCTTCTGAAACTGGTAAGAGAGCCTGCTCTTTATCCTGGAGGCCAAAAGAGGCCTCTAAAGGATTTAAGAAGTGTTTGGAGTCAAATTTGGTTCTAAATGAGGAAGATATCTATGATTAGTTATGGAGTGTTTCATAGGATACATTGTTAAGTGGAAAAAAACAATGTGTGAAAGATAATTCATATGTAATGTGTTGCTTTTTGTGTAAGAAAGAAAGGAAAGAAGAAAAGATCAATGAATCTGCTCACTGATGCGAAAATAAACACAGAAAGGCTAAACTATAAACCAGAAGGAGTGAGGAGGAAAAAGATGGAAAAGAGGGGGCTGGGAACACAGTGAAAGAATGGAGAAAAGAAATACTCCTCTGAGAATAACTTTTTATAAAGTTCTGGCTTTTGGAAACATACTAAAAAAGAGTCAATGGGAATAAAGAAAAATAAAACTCTAAAGTGAAATGCCAACAGAAATTAATAAGAGTGGGAAAGAACTAACCTAAATAACTTTATAAAACAGTATTTTGAGAATATACTGATGGCTAAAGATAAAAGAACTGTAAAGAAATCTTCTGCTTCATTTTGTTTTTCACAGAGATGTGCCTGTAGTTCTGACACAACTTCCTGTGTACCTCAGGACTAAGCAAATAAGTGCATTGTAGATCATGGAAACAAAGGTTTTTTTGAGAAGGGAGTTTAAAAATGTGGAACAAGAGGAAGACTACAATGCACATAGTAGGGTTGACTGTACTTGGAAGTATGAGTATGAACTTGGGGTTTTTTAACATAGATGGGTAGGTAGATAGGTAGATATGTAGAAAGATGAGAGATAACCAGAGATGAGATATGTGTGTGTATATGTGTACATGCATATATTTCCCAGCTCTGTCCCTGACAGGACCTAGAAGCAATGACACCCCAACAGCAATGAGCACAGCTAGTGCCCACACCTTGGTTTCAAATATCATTCTCCACTAAAAGGAATCAAGGCTTTGGAAATGACTGATTTCAGGATAGGACTGAGGAAGGACAAGATAGGCCTGAAATATTTTGTAATCCCAGAAAATAAAAATAGGCTCAAAGAATGATGGAACTATGTCTAAAGAACAAAGAACTACTTCACATGAGCTTTCACTGACCAAGTCTGGGAAAATGCAAGAATCAAAACAATATATTATAGTAATGAATTATAACCTATTGAGTAAAGTAAGAATCCATAAATATAAATAAATATATTATCTAAATACAATATACATTTATACATATTTATATAAATATTGTTTATATTTTACATATTTACACTATATGTAGTATTTATAGTATAAATAAAAATATTTTTAAAATTGATATAAAAAAATAAAGAAAACTCTTCCTAACACTAAAATCCCAATTAATAAATACAGAAGTAACAATGGAATTAGAAACTCACTGTCATTGTAATGATTAATCCTGGCAAGCATCATCAGTGGATGCCAAATTAGTGGGTAAAAGTTTGAAGAATAATCACAAAATTACAACAACCTGGAGCAGGATAAGAGCATGTTCAGAAACCTTTGGCAGAGCACAAAAACTTTGTCCCCAACTGCTTGTCAGCTGGTTGTTTAAGTCATATTGCTGTGTTGTATTTGTAATAGGATAATAACAATCATTATTTATTGAGTGCCCACTGTGTGATAGGCATTGTGCTAGGTGGGGTTTGGGGGTAGGGTTTTTGCATATATTAACTCAGTTAATTCTAACACTAACTCAGGGTAATTTTTATTAGGTTTTTCATTTTTGAGATTAAAAAACCAAGGTTTAAGAAACAAACAAAAAAAAAGATCTAAAGTTAAATAGTTATAAGCATTATAGCCAGGATTCAGATCTGCCTTCCGATCTTGAGTTTCATGGTGTTCCACCATGTAGTGTGTCTCCGGGCCCTCTTAGAGCTCTGTGCTTCTGAAAGTATGTAGAACCATACATTAGAGAGGCATTCTTACACAAAAGCATTGGCAGTTCCTTCTTTCTCCTCACCATATCCACTAAACACTTTGCCTCATTTTTCTCATCTAAAAATAGGGAAGGCTGTGCTACTTTACACGGTTGTCATGAGGACTATATGAGATAATATATGTAAAGCATAGAGCACAGTGTAAAATAAGTGTTTGGCAGCAGTAGTAATACCAGTCATAATGTTAAATTTCCTGGTATGATGGAAAATATTTTTAAAGGTCACTCCTCAATTTTGGACTAAAACAACAATCAGATCATGAAGAGCTTTGTGTATCATGAAAAGAAGATTGTATTTTATTCTATAGTCAATAGAAACCACTGAAGAGTTTTATTACTGAGAGAGAGATGATCTAGTTGGCAATTTAGAGCCGGCCAAGGGGAGGAGAGCAACACTCAAGGCAGGGAGACCAGCAGGAGGCTGATGTCAGAGACCAGATGAGAGAAGATGAGGGTCTGAGCTAAAGAACTGGCTGGCGTGATAGAGATCAGGAGACACAGAGTGGACAGTCATATTCTGGAACTGGTTCTGAGGTTTGGCAGGAAAGAAAGGGGGAGGTACTCAGGCTGAGTACTGGCTCCTCTCAGGGCACAACCAGAATACAGATGAGAAGTAGGTTAGTGGCCTGGGAAAGTGACAGTTTGGAGCAGTTTGGGACATACAAGGGAGTCATAGTGACAGTTGGGTATTTAGATCAGAGCGAGGAAAGAGTGTGGGCCCGAGCAGCTGGGGAGTCGCTGAGTCTGTAGAGGAGGATGAGAGCTTTCAGGGAAGGGATGTAGAGTGAAAGGGAGCTCAGGATAGGATTCTGGAAATACCAGTATTTAATGATGGCAAAGGAAAGGCAGCAAGAGACGGAGGAGGAATGCTCAGAAAGATAAAAAAGGCTCAGGGGGGTTGTTTTCTGCCATGGCAAAGTCTGCAGAGAGAGCAAATGAAGCAAGGAAGGCTGCAAGCTGCCTATTGGATTTGGCAATTAGGTAGCTGGGGACTTTGGCAAGAGTAGGTGCCGAGGAGCAGAATCCAGTTGATGGGTGGATTCAAGAGAGAATTCAACTTTTTAAGGAGAGAAACTACAACTTGGATGCTCCAAGGAATGCAGGCTTCTTGCTATCTTGCTCCCTTGTCATGCATTCCCCATACTGCGGGAGAGCTCTGACTGGCGGAAGGTCTTTACAGAGGCCACATCTCCAACACCTGCCCTCAACTCTAGTTTAGCCTTGCAGGTCCACGCCTTCAGAAAACTGTATAAAGCAGTCTCCAGCCCCTCCGTCATTCCTCATACTTTTCAGGCTCCCCAGACTTGCCTTGAAGTCTGACTCTCCACGATGGGTCCTGTCTTACTGAAACTGGGCTTGTTTTTTGGTAACATTGGCCTTTAATTTGTCCTCCTATTAGATTGGTGTCTTTCCAACATTTTTTAACCTCAACCCAGGATAAGAAATACATTTTTACATTATGATTATTATACACATGTATATATACCTGAAAAGAAATGGGCTCTTATTTTCAACTCCATTGCATTCCATCCCATTCTCTCCTCATCTATTTCATGTTACTAAGTGCTGGTCTTGGCACTTAATCTTACAACCCACTAAACTCACACTAAAACCCACTAAACTCTCACATTAGTCTCACAACCCACTAAACTGATTTAATGACTGACAGTAGGAGCCACAGAGCTGGGAGAGGCTCAAAGAAAAAGATGTTCAGTGTTTGTCCGAATCCATCTCTCTTCCCTCCCTCAGAATCTTCCCACACTGGTGCCCACAGGCCTGCCCTCTGATCACTTTTTTTTTGTGATTCTGAGAGGAAAGATAACTGCTTCAGTCACTAGGGTGGTAGCCAGCCTTGGGGGCCATTTGAATTTCCAGAGTGACTCATCAGAGGAAGATGAACAGCTCTAATGGTGAAATTTGGAATTTATTGTGTACATGTGGGGCACACAACAGCCTGAAACATTTTCATGCCTTGGGGATGCCCTTAGTTGTCTCTACTACCACCTTCCATGGAAGGCATTTAAAATTCCCCAGAGTTTAAAAGTGTGGCTTCCTACTTATACAAGTCACCCATTCCCCCACCCCTCCAGTCAGACACTCACCTGGAGTTGTGCTGGTCTGGTCTCTATATCCTCTTCAGGCTTCCCTGAGGGAAGCATCCTTCCTTTGAGAACCATTACCTCCTAAAAACTTGCAGCAAAGAAAATTTGGAGATTATTTTTTAAATAAGAAAAGGTGGCTCACATGTTTAAACACTCTCATTCACCATGTCTTTTCTAATTCTTCCCAGGAAAAACAAGGATTTCTGAATTTACCTTGACTAAGATAGGATGCTCCCTGAGGAATAACAGAGGACTTCGCTCATCTGTTGAAAAGTGTCCACCACTGCCATAGACACTTGGGTCCGCGACACATCTCTTGAAGGGCTTGTCCATCACCTTCCTGCAATGAGCCAGACCCTGGGCTGGGCCACGGCTTCACACTCGTGAACAAAACTCCATCCCTGGCCTTAAGTATTCAGCCTAAAGATGAGTGAAGAACGCTGGGTCTCCCTCACTCCAGAAGAATTTGACCAACTCCAGAAATATTTAGAATGTGAGTAAATGAATTGACCCATCTGGGGTGGGATTTCCTCTTGGTTGGGGAAAACATTTCTCAAGAGCAGAGCAGAACGCCACAGAGAATGAAGTCAGACCTGAGATCTTATGTTTTCTTTTATTTTAATCCTCTCCTGAGGATATGTTCATTGATTTTTTTTTTTTTCAAGAGAGGAAGGGGGAGAGAGAGAGAGAGAGAAAGAAACATATTGTCAGAGAGAAACACTAGTTGGTTGTCTCCTGTAAGCACCCCGACCAGGGATCAAACCCACAACCTAGGTATGTGCCCTGACCGGGAATTGAACCCACAGCCTTTTGGTGTATGGCATGATGCTCCAACCACCTGAGCCACCCATCCAGCGCAGCTTATATTTTCTTTAAAATACAGAATTAATGTCTCAAACATAGAAACAATGATCTTTACAGTCTATAAATGATACATTCTTAGCATAGAAATTTGGAATGTACAAGAGGAAAAAAGATAAGGAGTAGATTGAAAGATCACAGCTAAACTCTAGGCATGTTTTGGACACACCCCTCCTGTGCTCATTGCTTTCCATGGCTGGTTCCTAAATATACTTTTTCTTTTAAGCTTGCATTTTCCACCTAACATATCATTGTATTTCCTCAGGTCATTAAAACCTTTTCATGGCATAATTCTGAAGGGCTGCAGCCTGCATGGTTACAATGTTAACCATGTGATCCAATATACTCTGTGTTTGGACTCCCCTTTTTTTCTCAGTAAAATATAGAATTCTGATGTATGTCTGTTTCTTGACTTTGTTCTGGGAAAGTCTAGGCTTTCAAGTGGGGCTCTTGACTTCATTTGTTATACCCAGAAACAATTTCGGTGCATTAAGACACAGTGGAGGTTACACCCACATTCCCATGCGGGCACCCAGCTGTCTGCCTGCTGCCCCCCCCCCCCACATGCCAGGCATCTCCCAATCCTGATGGGTGACAGGAATTTCCCCGGCTGTGGTAGAACACCAGCTGACTGCTGCACTCTGCACACACATAGTGACATTACTATGTCACTATGCCAGCTCTGGCTCTTCCTCTCTGTGATTTGACAGCTTATAACCCCCCGGGCCCTGGGTATCCTCTTCTGCAAAAGGGCAGGGTTGGACTAGATGATCTCTCCTGGTGGTTCCCAACCCAGACCTAAGACCCCATATGCTCCCCAAGGTCAAGAGAAGTTCTGAAAGCTACTAGTCAGCCTCTCTCCCCACACCCTGGAGTGCGTCACCTCTTTTCTGATCTCAATAGGTTTAGAGAAACTCAGTAACGTCCTGACAAGGAGCAAGGATAATCTCCATTTAATTCAGTCTGCTGTGTAGATCAGCAAAGTACCAGACCCTCTCAGGGACAAAAAAGACGCACAAAAGAAAGGCTCACCCTTGAGGAATCAGAACTTGTTAGGGAGTGAGAAGTGTGCTCCCTATGCCAGCGGAGAACAGATTTAAAGCAGTGGGCAAGGACTCTGGCCAGGCTGGCTAAACTGAGGGCATAAACAAGGAGGGAATTGAAAGCCAGGGAAAACTCGTATGGGAAGGCATATTAGTTTGCTGGGCTACTGTGACAAAGTACTACAATCTGGATGGCTTAGAACAACAGAAAATGTTTCACAGTTCTGGAAGCTAGAAGTCCAAAATCAAGGTGTTGGCAGGATTCGTTCCTTCTGAAGGCTGTGAGGGAGGACCTGCTCCAGGCCTATCTCCTTGGCTGTCTTTTCTTTTTGTCTCTTCACATGGCATTTTCTTTGTATGTGTGTCTCAGCGTTCAAATTTCCCTTTTTATTTGTCATCTTGGAATGAACCCATCCTATCATTGTGGGACCTCATCTTTACTAATTACATCTGTGATGACACTACTTCCAAATAAGGTCACATTCTGAGGGGTTAGGACTTTGACATATAAATTGAGGAGGGGGCAGATACAGCTTAACCCATAAGAGAGGGTTTCTCTGTGTGAACTCTATGAAGGAAAGATGTTTTGAATGTGAGTAGTAAATGGTGGGAGGAGAGGGAGTAGAAACAATGGAGGCAAAGATAGAGGGACATGAAGGGAGGGGTATGTGGGGGTGGCAAGGAGAACTTCTGGGCTAGAGCGAAGGAGGAGCAGTGGGTGGGGAGGAAAACATAAGAGAGATGGGGGAGCAGGAGATCTCGGCCCTGCATGTCAAGTCATGGCCTGTGGACCAAGGTGGCAAAATTGAGAGCCATGAATTTGGTGGCTGTTTGCAGGGTGGCCTGGTCGAGGAAGCTGCCAGTTCAAGGAGGTCCAGGAGCAACCTTTGGGTAAAATCTAGTCTGAACTGAGGAACAGAGCTAAAATGATGAATGTGGCAATGAACAAATGCTAATTTGTGGAAAATTGCAGTGGAAGTGTTATCAAAACTTATGAAACAAAAGGAAGCCAACAAAGATAGCTCAAAGCCTGTGAATCTGTGGGAAATGGCAACATTAGGATGCAGGGCTAGTGAGGATGGTCTGGGAATGTTGATTTTGAGATGATGACGACAGACACATCCACTTCTCTATTCATATGTGCCAGGCTCCAGGAGCCAGCAATGAATGAGACAATCTTGCCGTAAAGAGCTCGCAGCCCAGTGTGGGGAGAGAGACAGGACTCAAACACTGATCTGAATGATAGGTGCCAAGGAGCGGGGAGCATAAAGGAGGAGACCTAGCCCAGCCGGGGTGGGGGGATGCTCCTAGACTCTGGAAACACTAGTAGGAGGGAGAACAGGGAGGACGTTCCAGGTAGAGGACATGGCTTGGCAAGGGAGGGAAGTGAGAAAGTCATCAAGGTAGCTTTCAAGAACTGCAAGCAGTTCCCAGTCTAGGGACCTATAGAGCCTATGTAGGCGGGTGGCATGGAGGGAGCCAAGGATAGAAGTGGAAAGGTAAGGAGGGCCTTATCCTGAGAGCTGCTGCTTTCTGAGTGGGACATCCTGTGGGCCCCAGGAAGTTATGTGGTAAGGCTGGGTGGGCATGAAGGATTAGGCTACAGCTCCTACTCATGAAATCTTGTGTGGAGACAGCAAGGAAAGAAAAAAAAAGGAATAACGACACTTCAGAGAGCAAGAATGTGAGGAAAGAAATCAGAGGATAGAGACTGGGATTTAGGGCATGTCTACCATTGGGGGTCAGAAAGGAAAAAAAGTTGAAGGCACAGAGAGAAAACCCAGCAAGATAACTAGTGAACAAAGAGTATGGGGTGGAGGCAGCTATGGGACTAAGGGGTCCAAAGGTGGCAGAGTCGTTGAAGAGGCAGAGGGTAAAAAGAAGCCAGAGTACCTGGTAGGAAGCGGCTCCTTTGTGTTTGCACCATCAGCTGTGTCCTTCTGTGGCCCTTCCTCATTTTGTCCATGTCCTAGGACTAGATGAGGTGCTTTGACACCATTGTTCTAACAGTTCTTGGAAAATGATTAATCCTCAGAGGAAACCCTGAAAAAGGCACTTATACCAATTTTAGACACAGCCTGGTATTCAGTCAGATTGCATTGCCATAGCAACTGCTCTTCCATAACCACATAAACAGGAATAACTAAAGTGGACAGCCTGAGAACTGATAGCTTTCCTGAGGGGGTTTACCAGGTAGGAGAGCCCAAGAATTTGAAAACAAGATGCTCTTGGTGTGTTCTGTTTATATAGCATCAACCCTGTACCTTCTTTGATGGCATGTTATTGCAGGAGAAGCCATGTTAAAACTGCCCTTGGAGATATATATATTTATTTTATATGTATACTTACATACATATACACATGTACGTGTATACCTATATATATAGTTGATGATAAGCTTAATGTGAATCAGTAGTGTAAAATACTTGTCAAAAAAGATAATGTGATATTAAGAAATTTTTTGTTACAAAATAAAAACAAGCGTAAAAATTTTGAAAAACCAGAAGATGAAATTTAAACCTACACATAATCCTATCTCTCAGTGATAACCACTAATGTTACATAAAAAGTGTATATTTTAGGCTATTTGTATGCTGTTTTTTTCACCCTAACAATATGTTTCAGGTATTTATTGCTGCGTCAAAACAACTTAAAAGCTAAATGCGCTAAAGCAGCCATTTTGTTTTTTCCCATGAGTCTGGACAGGGCACAGGAGGGATGACTAGGCCCTGCTCCACAGTGTTTGGGGCTTGGGGTGGGATCACATGGTCCAGCATGGCTCTTCACTCACATCTGGTGCCTCAGGGGCCCTTCAGGGGCCCTTTCCCCGGAGGGCCTTTCTCATCTCCCAGGACCTCTCCGCGTTGGCCTCTCTTTCCGACAGGATAGCCTGGACTCCTTACATGTGGCTCTGGGCTCCAAGGGCATAAAGCAGCAGCTGCCAGCCCTTTCTAACACCTTGGCTCAGAGGTTCTAGAATGGAACTCTTTTCACGTTACATTGGTCAAAGCAGTCCCAGGCCTGGCCCAGATTCACTGTGGTAAAGGGAAGGACTCCGCATCTCGTGGGCACATGACTCACACAGGGAGGGGGAAGACTGATGACAGCCATCTTCAGAGACTAGCTAATGCACAATATGTCCTGTGTTCCCATATCACACAGGACTTTTCAGAAGTACGGTTTTTAATATTTGCAGAGATTTCTGCTGAGTACATATACATATTTTGTTTAACCAAACTACTGATTGTGATCTTAGGCTGTATTAAAATTAATAGACTCATTGTGTCTAGTAAGGTGAACTGATATCCACATTCTCTCCTGCCCTGATCAGACCTCTCTAGAGAACTGAATCTATTTCTGGGATCACATGGATATGAACAAACTAGAACTTTTTTGAGAAGTGCCCCAAAATGGTGAGGGGTCTCACAGCCTGAAGTGGCTGAAAATACTGTGGATATGTACTAGAGAAGCGCAGACACAGGGAAAGGGAAGGGAAGGCTAATTTTATTAAAATAGCTACAGTGCTATTGTGGGGAGGAGGTGTTAAGCTAATTTTAAATCGCTTCAAGAAGTAACCTTATGCCTAATG